GGTTTGTTTAAGCATAACAGCCTTAGCTAACAGCCAGTTGGCTTTTAGCTCATGTGGCAGAGGCTCATGCGCTAAGCTCCAGAGATCCCCGGTTTGATCCTGCTCTCCGCCAACCGGGGTCTGTCGGCATTACACAAAGAAGAGTGGTGAATCCTAAGCATGTGCAACTAGCTCCCAAGGCAGAGCTGGAAAGAGAAGGGCTCCGGATCTAGCAGCAGCTAATGTCGCTTCCTGAGCAACCAGCTGGAAGATCCAAGGGTAAAAAATGCCTGTGCAATGAGTGGAAAAATTGGAGCAGCAACAAAAGAAGAAGGAACAGAGTCGGCTGCAGGGCAGGAGAAGGGCAGAGACGGGCTCTGCAGAGTACGCTCATGCTGCCCCAGGGGAGCGGATCTGCAACCACTGGAAGGGGGAGTCTCAGAGAGTCGGCTCTTTCCTAAGCGACACAGGCGCCATTACATGCAGGGCTCTAAAATGACTGGGGGCTAAACCTCTTTCCCTCCTTTTCTCTGTCCAAAGGTGAAGACGTTCAGACAACCAGGAGGGTGGAAACCTCCTACACATAGGAGAGGATATTTGGAACTATCCGAAGCTGGACACCTGCCAAACAATCAGTGGGGCCACTGGACAATTGAGGTGCTAAAGGAGCACTCAGGGAAAACAAGGCCATTGTGAAGAAGCTAAATATTCTCTGCATCAGTCTCCACTGCAGAGGGTGTGAGGGAGATTCCCAAACCTGAGCCATTCTTTTAGGTGACAGATCTGAGGAGCTGTCCTAGATTGAGGTGTCATTAGAGGAGGTTTTGGAACAAACTGATAAATTAAACAGTGATCGGTCACCAGGCCCAGATGGATTCACCCTAGAGTTTTGAAGGAACTCAGATATGAAATTGCAGAATTACTAACAGTGGCGTGTAACCTATCATGTAAATCAGCCTCTGTACCCGATGACTGGAGAATAGCCAATGTAATGCCTATTTTTAAAAAAGGCTCTAGAGCCAATCCTGACAATTACAGGCCAGTAAACCTAACTTCAGTACGCAAATTCACGCAAATTGGCTGAAACTATAATAAAGAACAGAATTATCAGACCCATAGATGAACACGATTTGTTGGGGAAGAGTCAATATGGCTTTTGTAAAGGGAAATAATGCCTCGCCATTATTAATCTACTAGAATTCTTTGAAGGGGTCAACAAGCATGTGGACAAGGGTGATCCAGCAGATGTAGTGTACATGAACTTTCAGAAAGCCTTTGACAAGGTCCCTCACCAAGGCTCTAAGTAAACTAGCAGTAAAGCAGACATGGGATAAGCGGGAAGGCCGTCTCATGGATCAGTAACTGGTTAAATGATAGGAAACAAAGGGTAGGTAGGAATAAATAGTGAGTTTTCAGAATGGAGAGAGGTAAATAGTGCTGTCCCCCACAGGTCTGTACTGGGACTTGTGCTGTTGAACATATTCATAAATGATCCAAAAAATCGGTAAACAGTGAGGTGGCAAAATTTGCAGATGATACAAAATTACTCAAGATAGTTAAGTCCAAAACTGACTGTGAAGACTTACAAAGGATCTCACAAAACTGGGTGACTGGGCAACAAAATGGCAAATAAAATTCAATGTTGATAAATGCACAGTTATGCACAATGGAAAACATAATCCCAACTATACATATAAAATGATGGGGTCTAAATTAGCTGTTACCACTCAAGAAAGAGATCTTGGAGTCATAGTGGATAGTTTTCTGAAAACGTCCACTCAATGTGCAGCAGCAGTTAAAAAAGCGAACAGAATGTTAGGAACCATTAGGAAAGGGATAAATAATAAAATAGAAAATATCATAATGCCATTATATATATCCATGGTACACCCACATCTTGAATAGTGTGTCACACTGTCATGGAGTGTGGGGGGACACAAGGCCCTGCACCCCCAGCTTCCTACGATTCACCAGGACTCTCAACCAGCCAGTAAAGCAGAAGGTTTATTTAGACGACAGGAACACAGTCCAAGACAGGTCTTGCAGGCACAGGCAACAGGATCCCCCCCCAGTTAGGTCCATCTTGGGGTCCCAGGGCCCCACAGCCCCCTTGGGAGGTCAGAGCCCTGTCTGCCTCCCAGCCATTCCACCAGCCAGCTCCTCAAAACTCTCCTTCAGCGACCCCTCCCACAGCCTTTGTTCAGTTTCCCGGGCAAAGGTGTCACCTGGCCTCTAACCCCTTCCTGGGTTCTCATGTTACATGCTCAGGTATCTTCCCTCGGTCAGTCTCCCATGCCCCAATGCAGACTATCCCAGCCACACTCCCCTGTCAGCATTCACAGACCACAGGAAGAACAGTCCCCGTTCGTCACACACACCAACTCAAAAAAAAAAAAAAAAGATATATTAGAACTGGAAAATGTTCAGAAAAGGGCAACACAAATGATTAAGGGTATCAAGCAGCTTCCATATGAAGAGAGATTAAAAAGACTGAGACTGTTCACCTTAGAAAAGAGACAACTGAGGGGGGATATAATAGAGGTCTATAAAATCATGACTGGTGTGGAGAAAGTGACTAGGGAAGTGTTGTTTACCCCTTCACATCACACAAGAACTAGGGTCACCCAATGAAATTACTAGGCAGCAGGTTTAAAATAAACAGAAGGCAGTACTTCTTCACACAACGCACAGTCAACCTGTGCAACTCCTTGCCAGGCGATGTTGCGAAAAACAAAAGTATCGCTGGGTTCCAAAAAGAGCTAGATAAGTTCCTGGAGAATAGGTCCATGAATGGCTATTAGCCAGGATGGTGAGAGATGCAGCCCCATGGTCTGAGCTTCCCTAAACCTCTGACTGCCAGAAGCTGAGGCTGGACAACAGGGGATGGGTCACTTGAAATCGCTCTGTTCTGTTTATTCCCTTTGATGCATCCCGCACCAGCCACTGTCAGAAGACAGGATACTGGACTAGATGGACCATTGGTCTGACCCACTATGGCCGTTCTTATGTTCCTAGAGAGACAAGGTGGGTGAGGAAATATCTTTTAATGGACAGTCTTCTATTGGTGAGGGAGACAAGCTTTCGAGCTTACACAGCACTCTGGAAAACATACTCTTATGTTACGTTAACCTACAGCCTCAAATCGGCAAGTCCAGACAACCCATCCTAGGAGTGCAGGGGGAGAGAGAGGACAGACCTTGAGAACCTCTGCCAACAAGATCTGAAACATCACGGAGAGCTGAAGTGGGGTCAGAGGGTTAAGAGGGATGCAAACCTGATACTGATCTGAAAGGGACAGCAGAGCAATCCCGGCAATTCTCATTGCATAAGACTAACTGTAGTCCTGAGTCAAAGAAAAACTAGGAGAAAAAAACGAGCACCAAACAGTCAATAGGAGTCTTTCTATTTGCTTCAAGGCCCTTTGAGTCTGGCCCCAGGGGAGAAACAGACCCAGGAGCAATTAGCATCCTGAGGGTATCCAGATGAAAACCTGCCAGCAAAGAAAATCAACCCAAGTGGCTGCAAGGCTCACAGAGGGTATCCAGGCTGAGGACTCTCATGAAAGCTTATGCCCAAATAAATCTGTTAGTCTTTAAGGTGCCACCAGACTCCTTGTTGTTTTTGTAGATACAGACTAACACGGCTACCCCCTGATACAAGGTTTCCCTAAACCTCGCTCCACAATTAACCCAAAAGGAGCCAGAGAGACCAGAACCTTGGGTGTGGCAGATGCAGGTTCCCATTTGGGGTTGGCTGGGGCACTGACCCTGCCCACAGTGACACCTCAGGGTGTGAGAGGACAGCGAAGCAGAGGGGGGCTTAGAACGTGATGTGACAGGGAAATGGGCAATGGGCTTCTGGGTCATGTTCTCTGATGTCAGCCAACAAGGAGGGACCAGTGCCTTTTCCACAGCTCTCCTGCAGCCACCCTGGGTCTCTGAGGACACGGTACCAAAGGGAAGGACCCTGCCTGGCAGGGGCTGGGTTAGGCGATGGGTCTGTGCCATCTTTGATGCCCATCCTCGCCCCCTGCCCTGGCACCCACCCCCCACTCATTCTCCTCTATGAGCCAGGCTGGTGAAGCAGGGGCAGGGCAGGGGCTGGCTGGCAGGGGCCAGAACCCTCTGCCCTCTAGGCAGGCCCCAGCACCAGGCAGAGCTGCAGGCTCTCACCTCTGCCCTGTGCTCATTTCCCTTGCAAATACTGCAGGGGGATCAGCTGGGGAGGATGTGGGAGGGCCTGGGCATGAAGAGGGAAGGAGCGCACGCTTCAGAGGAAAGAGCCGGTCCAGATCCCACTCCTGTCGCTCTGCTGACCCCTGGCAGGGTTACCCCAGACCTGAATCTGGCCCGCTGTGTTTTGAGTGCGTTCACCTACCCAGTGTGGGGGAAGTGACCTTAGGACAAAATCCCCAGCAGGGCACTACCTGCAAACACACCTTTCCTTCCTGCCCAGCTTGTGCCCGGCCCAGGCACCACCTGCAGGAGGTGGCACAAATCCTGGAGTAGGGCAACCCCAGCTCGAGGGAACTTGGCTCCGTTGTGCCAGTGCAGAGAGGGGCTGGCAGCTACACACCTCAGAGTGTACAGCGGTGGTATTTGAGGGGGAGCCTCCCACAAGGTCTCTGCCCCTGAAGTGCCAGCCTTTTTCAGGCTGCAGAGACCTACCCATGGCACCTACACACATCCACTAATCAAAGCCTTGGGCAGCAGCAACCCTCAAAGAAATAGAAACTGAGGCATGGAGCGGGCAGGGACTTGCCCAAGCTCACACTAGTCAGACGCAGGGCTGGAAGTGCAACCTCAGAGTCCTGACTACAGGCCTCCTGCTTAGTCCACTAAACTCCGCTGCCTACCATGGCAAGCGCTCCCCCTGCAGAGCCAGCAGCTGGGGTGTCCCCACCCAGGGCCTGTCTGCAGCCACGGCCCCCGGCTCAGTCACTGCTGCAGGGACCCACACCTGGGTGTCCCGTGGGGCTGGGGAAGGTTCTGCGGCATGGGGGGTATGGAGAGGACTCTTACCTTGGGGTGGGGTGGAGCAGAGCCCACCCAGGGCAGCTCTACGGTGTGTGAGACATGCTGGCTTGGCCCATCGTTCTTCCTGAAAGAGAAGAAACCCACATATTACAGCTGGCCCCATGGCTGTGACCTTTCCAGCTGGGCTGGGGCCGGAGGGGCCGGGAGGAGAGAGGCCAGCAGTGGGGATCCCAAAGGAGTCGAGGAGAGGATAGGCCGGGGAGCCACCAGGTGCCGCTCAGCAGCCGCATCAAAGGGGAGATGCAGCCTGGTAACGCATCCAGGAGAGACACAGCATCGCAGGGGCCCATCAGGAGCTAGCTTCAGGTCACTTGCATTTAACCAAGATCCCCAGGAAAGTGCAGCAGCAGCAGGCTCGACTGGACATTGCTCCAGTTATGAAAACGCTAACGAAGCAGCCAGTGGACAGCGCAGCTGCTCCATGGACTGCAACAGACACTCCTGCACCTGGTACCTTGTGTCTGGCTAGTGGACTGCAACCTGCGTTCCACCTGGCCAGAGCCACGCAGAGACAGCTAGTGAATTGCCACTCTCAGGAGAAGGAGCTGCAAAGGAGATTGGGTTATTATCCAGGCAGCTGGTACTAGCGATGAGGGGTTCACACTGGCGCAGGCTTAGAGCTGCAGCAGATGGCCCCTTCACACCACTTTGAGCGACTGAACTGGGAACTCTGCCCAGCCGAAAACGAGGGTGACAGCTCAGCCCCCAGCCTTAGAAACCCGCTTGCCGGGTGGCCTGAGAGGAAGCAGATTTCAGCTCCCCTGCTCTCAGGCAGCACACGAGGCCACAGATCCCAGAATGCATCATTGTCTGATCCAGCACGGAGCGTCTGGTCCGGGAACCGGTGCTCTCATTGGGAGCACCCAACAGGATAGCGCCAAGCTCTGGGGTATATTTTGGTTGCCCCACAGCAAAGGATCCACATGGCCCAGTTCTCAGCATGGAGGAGCCACAGATCCCAGTGCAGGTGGCTGCATTACCTGCCCTGGACCCAGCCACTGCTGCTCAGACCCACTGCTGGGCAGGCCTGCTGGGCAGACATTCCCAGCTGTGTTTGCCTTCCTCAGGCTGTCATAACTATAAAGGGAAGGGTAACAGCTCTCCTGTGTACAGTACTATAAAATCCCTCCTGGCCAGAGACTCCAAAATCCTTTTCCCTGTAAAGGGTTAAGAAGCTCAGGTAACCTGGCTGACACCTGACCCAAAGGACCAATAAGGGGACAAGATACTTTCAAATCTTGGGGGGGGAAGGCTTTTGTTTGTGCTCTTTGTTTGGGAAGTTGTTCGCTCTTGGGACTGAGAGGGACCAGACATCAATCCAGGTTCTCCAAATCTTTCTGAACAAGTCTCATATTTCAAACTTGTAAGTAAACAGCCAGGCAAGGCGTGTTAGTTTTTATCTTTGTTTTCTCAACTTGTAAATGTACCTTTTACTAGAGTGTTTATCTCTGTTTGCTGTACTTTGAACCTAAGGCTAGAGGGGGGTCCTCTGAGCTCTTTAAGTTTAATTACCCTGTAAAGTTATTTTCCATCCTGATTTTACAGAGATGATTTTTACCTTTTTTCTTTAATTAAAAGTCTTCTTTTTAAGAACCTGATTGATTTTTTTCCTTGTTTTTAGATCTAAGGGGGTTGGATCTGTATTCACCAGGAGTTGGTGGGAGAAAGGAGGGGGATGGTTAATTTCTCCTTGTTTTAAGATCCAAGGGGGTTGGAACTGTATTCACCAGGAGTTGGTGGAAGGAAGGAGGGGGAATGGTTCATTTCTCCCTGCTTTAAGATCCAAGGGGTTTGGATCTGTATTCACCAGGGAATTGGTGAAGAGTTTCTCAAGGCTTCCCAGGGAATGGAATCCACTTGGGAATGGTGGCAGCGGACCAGATCTAAGCTGGTAGTTAAGCTTAGAAGTTTTCATGCAGGCCCCCACATTTGTACCCTAAAGTTCAGAGTGGGGAAGCAGCCTTGACACAGGCAAATATTAATGCTGGCACCGCCAGATAGGCCCACCAGGAACGACAGGGGCAGCGCTACCATGCTCTGCACCCAGCGAAATCCTTCTAATTGCCATGCAGACCCCGCACCAGCGAGCCTCGCATGCCTGCTCCCCGAACGCAGGGGCCACAGTCTGTCACCCCCCTCCTCCTGCTAGGGTCTGTCTCACAGCATGGGCTGGGCTCCAAGCCCACGTACGCCAGCCCAACCCAGTCCCTGCACTGGGGTCAGGGAGTCACTCCAAATTGACACCACACACATTTTCACGCCCATTACAGCAGCAGCCGGAGAGCCCGGCTAAGATCAGGGCCCCTGCACAGGCACTGCACAGACACAGTGAGGTGGGCCCTGCCCAAAGGGCTGAGTCTGAACAGGCCAGGCAGCCGTGGGGGAGCAGCGAGCCGGAAGGGGGAGGGGAGGGCTGTGCCCAGGCCAGCAGCAGAGCCAGGGACAGAACCAGCTACACTAGCCACTAGACCATGCTGCCCGCCATTGGCCGCTCTGGGACTGAAGGCCGCTATCTCCAGGGAATGGCAGACCCAGCACCCCCCAGCAAAGGGCCTCAGCCAGGCAAACAAGGAGCTTGGTCTCTGGGCCGCGCTCACTCCTTGGCTCTACTGGCCTGCCAACAAGGGGCCGGGCATCAGGGCAGCAGCTTGTCCTGGGGCCTGAGCGAGCCCCAGCTCCTTACTCCATGCAGAGCCAGGCACAGATGCCCTAGGTCCCTCCTGACACACGGGACTCGTACCTGTTGCTGGCTCCACAGGCGCATGCCAAGGCTGGAGAGTGACTCACAGGATTGGGCCTGGCCAGGAGAGTCACCAAGGAACCTTGGCAGGGCCCCCCAGTGTGCAGCGCCAGCAGTGACTCCTGCGCACCCACTTCCCTGCCACCCTCCCCCCAGGGCCCGGAGCCAGGGCATGCTGGGCGCCCCTCCCCCAGACCACGGAAAGCTGGGTGCTCCTCCCCCAGAGCCCACGGCATGCTGGGCACCCCTCTCTGAGGGCTCAGAGTCACGGAACGCTGGGCACTCCCCTCCCCTAACTCTTGCAGGGCCTAGAACCGCAGCACACCGGGCACCCCCCACATCCCTCGCAGTGTGTGCGGTGTGACACCCTGGCACCCCAACATTCACCACTGTCATGTAGTTAGGATATGTTTTGTACAAAGTGCGCCTTGTGATGTATCATTCTAAAAGTTTTGATCTGCTAGACATTACTATCTCGTTCGATTGTATGTGCTATCGTCGTATGTGAAGTTGTGAAGTTTGGCTGTGTGTGTTACTGAAACATGTTGTGAGGCTGAACGCACCCACAAGCAGCCTTTCAGGTACAACAGTAAAAAGGCCAAACAATGTTAATGGTTTACTGAGGAAATGCACACAAGCACCAGGATTACCCCAGGAACTGTGTGCAATAGAAACCTCTCAGAGATAGCACTGCATAATGGGAACTGTTTGACTCAGGTCACAGCAAAAGAGCTTTCCAGCAAGTGGGAAGAAGATATAAAAGGAGGACAATGACAACACTGGGGGACCTCACTCTCCCTGCATCAACACACCTAGAAACACCGGAGGGGCAAGGACTGAACTGTCGGAGTGATGGTCCGAGGCTAGAAGGATCTTTAGCCTGTGTATGAAAACCTGGGAAAGTCAAGGCAACTTGTGCCTTAAGAATCTGCCAGCCTGTTTACCACTCAGGATGAGAATTTGCTAATTTATATCTGTAACCCCTTTGGGGTTTAGAGAGCATGGCCCTTTAAACCTTTTTCCTAAGGGGGAGCAGGAGAGTAAGAAAAAAGGAGGGAAACTCCAGGGGGCAGCGCTGGAGCTCCAAGGAGAGGGAGAGGCAGCCTGCAGGCCCTAGAAAAGGGAAGTTTGGGCAGCTGAGGGTCCTGTACTCTAGTAAAACTTGAGTAGACTATGGGTATGGCTTCTGGTGGTGCACCCAGACAGTTAATTGCTCGTTCTCCATTGGCTGTGGATTTTTCCTCCACAATGGATACCTGTTGGCATAACGCTCTCAATTCAGGGGTCTCCACATTCATTTGATCATTGGGTAATAAATCCTTAGAGTGAGGCTGCCGAGACAAGGCATCTGCATCCATGTTTGTTCGACCGGGTCGATACTGCAGAGTGAAATCATAGGCAGAGAGTGCCGCTAACCACCGGTGCCCTGCTACGGATAATTTTGCTGTTGTCTTGATGTATGTCAAAGGGTTATTATCGGTTTTTACAGTGAACTTGGCCCCATAGAGGTAGTTAGGGTTACCATTCGTCCGGATTTACCCGGACATGTCCTCCTTTTTGTGCTAAAAATAGCGTCCAGGGGGAATTTGTAAATAACTCAAAATGTCCGGGATTTCCCCCCTCCCCGGCAGAGCAGAGTGAGCGGCTGGGAGGGCTGCAGGAAAGTCCCGGGCTGGACTCCGGAGCAGCTGTAGAGGAGCTCCTCCTCCCTCCCTTCATTCTGAGCCGGCAGCTCCTCCTCCTGCAGCCCAGTGTCCCGGTCCGGCAGCACTGTGCAGGGCCAGGGACCGGGTTTTGTGTTGCACTGGGGAGCGCAGCCACGTGTCCGGCTCGCACAGAGCCCAACACCCTGTTCTGAGCAGCAGGGTATGGGGGCCAGGGGCCAGGAGAAGGGGCAGGGAGGTTCTGGAGGGGGCAGTCAAGGAAACGGGGGGTCGGGAGTTCGAGGGGGGGCTTTTGGGGGGAGTGGAGAAAGTTTGGGCGAGTCGAGGGTACAGGTAGGGGGTAGGGTCCGTGGGGGGCGAGGTTGGGGGGGGGGTCGTCGAGGAGGGG